TTGGAATTTCTGTATCTGATTGTAAAGATAATTAAATACAGATGTTAAAACTTGGAGATCTGTTGTCATGCCTCTGCATCAACTCGAACACGTCAGTCAAGGGAATTATTGACTTCACTGGTCACAACATGATTTACTCACCTTCCTTTATTTTGACAATAAACAAGTGTCCTATATAGCTATTTAAACTTCAAAATCAAAATAATAAGTTCATAAACCGATCTGACAAAAGCCCAACTCTACCATAAAAACAATACATATATTAGCTGCACCCCTATATAGGCCGCAGGAAGTAGAGAAAAGTAGCGGTTTATAGTCTGGTAGATTGTGGTAGAGGACCTAGCATCTGATGGAAATGGTGTAGGGAAGAGAGTTTATTTATATAGAACACTTAAATGTGGCTGAATATGTTTCCAAAGCGTAAGTATTAGGAGTACACGACAAAAACGGACTCTATTCGGTGTTTCTCCCAAACCAGTCTGACAGCTCTGGTCCCAGTCTACACACTTTCGAAAACTGAAAGCTCAAACTTTGGAACATTATACAATTGTTTTGATACGTAAATCCCATTTTTGGCAAATGTCATGCTGCTTTCCCATGGTGAAAATCCAACACAGATCTAAACAACATGCAAACCTTTCCCACTGTTGTCCCGGGTTGAAAAAGCCTACGTTGTCATCTACAGCAGGGGTCTTAAACGTATGTAGTGGCCTCCGAGTGAACACCAAAATAATAATCATTTCAGTGCGTAGTTATCAGCGCTGCCCCACTGAGATACACACATGTTGTTTTAAAGCTAATTTTTATCAAGACAACAACCACATCATTTATTTTGCCATAAACATTGAATCCTGAATGCAATAAACAATCAATAAAAGTAAACCTTATCAAACCCAGTCCATAAAACACAGCCTCACTGCTTTTAGTCCAGTATTTGGTCAACATACTTTCATGATTATAAAAAGTCCCGAATGAAAATGATGAGCTACAAACAAACTCTCCAACAAACGCTTGACTCTTCGCTATCCTGTTTTTATCTCTGTTCAACGAGCCAAAATGTCTACTTTCTCTTCTGTTAATGCTAAAGAATGAGAAGATGCACAGTTTCAAATATGGCTATATTCACCTGCAGGAGCTAAACAATTTTAGTGCTTTGATTCTATCTCTGCGCGTGCAACACACACTAACCTCGTTAGGCCCCCTGTTGGTTTGGGTTGGAGACCCCTGATCTCCAGTACAATTGAATACTGTAGTTCATTTGCAAAAACAGATAAGTGCCGTTAGAGAACTATGCGAAAGAATTTGCACATTGACAAGAACTTTTTTGAAAGAGCCCAATCTTTTTCAGTGTAATACAAGTAAAGTTTCACCCCTTCTTGATCAAACCCATTCAAATTTACTCCCAATAACAAAACATGGTGAAGATTGTAGATCGAGGAACACAACTTTTTGACTCAAGCAGATTCCTGTTTTTGCCCATGACCTCTTCATTTACAGTTGGATTCCCTCTCTCTCTCTTTTACAGCTGAGCATTCCAACATGGCGTATGCTCTACAGGTTAAGTCTCTGAACTCGTCTGAACAGTGTGGAACGTTCACCAGGTTTTGGAGTAAGAGCCGATTCGCCGTCATCTCTTTTGGACGATCACACGCTGCTGCTCCAGGCGACACTCTGCTAATGGCCCGGGTCTGAGCACTGGGTCTGAGCACCAGAGCTGAGTCAGGGCCCTCTCCCAGTCGCTCCTAAAAAGTACGAACAGAGACATTATCTTCTATGAGTTTATGCCGAGATGTGGAGTCTTGTGTAACTTCCAATTAAATAAAACATATTTGTATAACGCCATAAATCACAATAGTTGTCAGGGAGGTCTTTTGCAAAGTTTTGGATTCACAAACAACCGATCAGAGATTCAAACAGTTTGAACAGAGAATGCAATAATAACAAACACATTTGAGCCATTGATCCAAAGGAAATATGGCGACCAATAAATGTTCATTGGCAAACCAATGTAAATAAATGTCTATAAATGTCCTAGGACCCTCCTGCATCGCCAAGGGCCCACAACAACAAAAAACAGTGGGAAATAAGTGAGTAACCTCGGGGAGGCCCTGATTGAGAGAGGGATCCCACAAACGGACGCTGTAGATCCAGAACTCACTTAAACAAGTGAGCTCTGAGTTCTGTTTAGCTCAATGTGCTAATAACCATAGAGACTTTGCAGTCAAGCTGGGGTACATCATTTTTTATTCATAGATAATGCATTTTGTTTGTCCCAACAGCAATAATCCTCAAAAAGTAAAATGGTGTGAACAAATGAGACCATCAAACACAGTCTTTTTGTATTGGGGCAGTGCACATTAATCAACATGTGTTTTTCAACATGTAAATGTGCCAGAGTTCTCCATGTAGGCTAATTTTTATTCGTAGTCCAATGGCAGGTTGATATCAAGACAGATAAAACATACAGCAACATATTAGAACACATTGTTTACATACAGAATGATGCTTGTGAGCTGATTGGCTGAGTGAGGGTGGTCCTCTCTTTTTCACTATAACATGTATGGGCATTGGTCATCTGCCACTTATGGACCAAAGGCTCTATGTGTTTTTTTTATCATTGCATCTTATGTCTGAACTGTTTTATTCTCTAATCTGGGTTGGCAAATCGACAATTTTGTAAAGTCCTCCAAGATAACGTCTGTTGTGATTCAGGGTGAAGAAGATGTGCCAAGTCTGGGATCGTGTCATAAATTCCGACAGAAGACATGTTTTATTGTCGATGGTAGAGACAGCACAAACAACAGATACAATACAATGCAAGTGTATTATACAGAGCGGAGGCATGGAGACCTCCAATCAGCAGCTTCCACGGTGCCATGTAGCTTGGCCTTCAGATAGACAAAACAAGGGAAAAGTACTGGCTTCTTCACATTGATAGAATGATGAGTTTAACTTTAACAAAAGTTGCTTCAAAGTGTTATGAAATCTCACATTCCCCCCTCTGGTCACACATTCACGTGTGACCATCAGGATCAATAAACAGCAACATAACATCATAACTCAATACTTCAAAACTCATAAACTCGGTACTTCACTCGGTACTTCACTCGGTACCTCAAAAAACTCAGAACTCGGAATACTTCAAAAACTCAGAAAACTCATAAAACATGTTCAGATCTTTCATAAAACTCGTCAATCTTCAGTAAAATACCAAACTTCATCAGTCGATGGTGGTTCCAGATATTGCTTTGAAAACAGTCTCTCCCACTTCTCCGTGTTGGTTTCTTCAGGCTGCATTTGTGTCGAGCCATGAATTCTTCTGTGACGTGTCTTTCAATCACACGTTTCAGCTTCAGTTTCCAGATTCAGCAATTCAATTCAGTCCAAATTATGTCCAAATTGTGTAATCCAATTTTTCCAAATCATGTCCATGCAAAAGAGGACGATGGTATTGTCCATGTCTCAGCAGCTCACAGCCTGACTGGAATCAGGGGCTGTGCAGATTGTCCAAGTGCTGGTCCAGATGCATTCTCTTGAGGTTTCTCAGTTTTGGCTTGAAAAAAAAAATCACATTTTGTGTAAAAAAAAAAATGCTGTGTAGCTTGGCCTTCAGATAGACAAAACAAGGGGAAAGTACTGGCTTCTGCACATTGATAGAATGATGAGTTTTAACTTTAACAAAAGTTGCTTAAAAGTGTTATGAAATATCACGAGGGCAACACAAAAATACATTGAATTGAATTGAATTGAAGAGCTAGGCCTGACCAACTCTCCCTCCTCCTGCGCAGTCGCTGCAGAAGAAGAGGTCTTTTGGAAACTCATGGACTCTCCCCGCACTTCATTAAGTCCTTTCTCATGCAAACACTCCCCCACCCTCCTCCCCCTCCTCCCCCCCTCCCCCTCCTCCCCCTCCTCCCCCTCCTCCTCCCCTCTCCTCCGCGCATCTCATCAGCTGTTCCACACGGGGCCGTCGTTACGCGGATCGGTCACGCAGCTCCTGATGGGTTTAGAATGAGGTTTTGTGGGAGGCGATCTCTGTATTTTTAATGGCATTTTCCGCCCGATAATCGCGGCCCGGTCAGAGCGACAGGTGCCGTGCTTAAAGGGGGCCAGCGGGGGGGAGGGAGGGCGATCACAGCCATTATAGACTTTCAATTACAAGCTATTAAAGCGTTTGTCTAAGCACTGACATCCTACAAGTAAATGGACTTTGATGGGCGAGGTTTGAAGGGAAAGGAAAGTGGAAAAATCAGCCAAGGCCCCCCTCCTTTTATGTATTCATTTTTCTCTACAATTCTTAATCACAGAGGCTTTATACTTGTTAATTTAGTGATGTTATTTTATTTTAGTATAGAGTGATTATTCTGTTGTGTGCTCCTCCTCCTACTGTTCTGTCATGGTGATGCAATACTAAAATTTCACCACTGTGGGACAAATAAAGGATCTCCTATTCTTAATCTTAATCTTAACGTGGCCAATAACTTACCATAAACTAAGCCATAGATGGATTGGAAGTTTACAAATATGCACAAAGAAAAACATCAAAGTTAGAAAGGATTTAGTACATATAACTTTATCTTTATGGGACAGTGTTCTGTGTTGAGCCTCGAAGTCATGAAAAATGTCCTTAAATATCCCGCATGTACTTCAACCTTTCTGTATCTGCAAGGAACGACTCAAAAACAAAATACAATGGGAAAGTGGGAAACCTCGAAGAGACGGGAAACCGGAGCACCCAGATGAAACCTATGCAGATACGGGGAGAACATGCAAACTCCACTCACAAAGGCATTGTTTTTCCGACTGGGATTCAAAACTTCTTGCTGAGAAGCTTTTGACTAAAGGATAATGTTGTGATGCTACATTGGCAGAGTTTTTGTATGTCATAAAAGCAGCTTAAAAGTTGTGCCTCCTGAGAGGTGTGTGTCAGCGGGGGGCGTGGCCTCTTGAGCGATTATCGACTTTCAATTAAAACCTATTACGAGTCTTTTGTCCCTGGGTTAACCTGCTCCGCGAGGCTCTTCTGCCCGTGTCTGCGCGCTACTCTGGGCTAAAGGAGCAGTGAGGAGGGTGGGGGAGAGGGTGAGGTGAGGGGAGAGGGTGAGGTGAGGGGTGAGGTGGGGGGGTGGATGTTGGAGGGTCCGCTGGCCACCTGTCCCACTCTCTAGGCCCGCCATGCTGCAGCCTCGGCCCGCACACCAGCTGTTGGGACTGCTTGGCACTGGAGCTTCCACTTCCAGGGCCTCTCTATTCTTCTCCCTCTCCCTTGCTCCCTCTCCATCTCTCCCTCTCCTTCTCTCCCTTTCTCCCTGTCTCTCCCTCTCTCTGCGTTTGTGGTCGAGCAGTGCGAGTGTGGAAGCAATCAATTTCCAAATGGTGATCATTTAGAGCACTTTAAACAATTGCTGCGCGCGCATAAATATTTAATCTCGTGCATTGTTTATGGAAAAGGCGGCGCGGGTGTGGTGGGGGGGGCGCAGTGGTTGTTGAGCGCAGACGCAGCTGAAAGACACTGAAGGCGAGACACACAGTGAAGGCTCTGGTCGGAGGTGACGGGGCAAGAACCCCGTCTTGCCCCGCTTGCCCCGCTTTTCTCAAGTCACTCACTTTTAATACTAGAACTTCCAGAGCAGTCTAATTGACGGCTTTTAGTTTCAGAAGTGTGTGACTAAGCTCATGTACATTGTTGGTCTTCATAACTTCTGTTTCTATATGAGGCTTTTTTCTCTTTTGATTATTTTTTTTTTCAATTCATTTTCACCCCTTTCTTCATCCATTTCTGGGTCAGGGGTGGTGGCAATCAGAGCTGCCACCCAATTCACAATGTACCAATTTTTTCTTGTTTTTATGAAATATATATTGTTTTTTTCTTTTTTTTTTTTCATGTGAGGAGTTTTGTTGGATCTGCGGTAACTAACTTTTTAAGGTTTGGGACTGGTTCTGATCCAGTTCTGATCCGTTTTCCACCAGAATGGTGCTAGTTACCATTGCAACATTGTTTACTTGCAAGAGTTAGCATTTGGTCTTTAGCCTTTTCCTTTCAACAAACAGTTTAATATTCACCAGTTTTAGCACTTGAAAAAAGCAACAGCAAAAAATTATAAAATATCTAATGGAATCATTTCCATAGAAATAAAGTCACAAAGTTATAGAGACCAAACATGACACATGCTGAGGAATGCTAATTTATTGCGTCATATTGGACTGTATTTAATTATATATGTTGGTTACTTGCACTTTTATGGACCTGTATGTTCATAAAATTGTGTTGTTAGGACCTCAGATGGAAAGTAGCTGGTGCTAAATCTGGTGCAGCCTTTTTTAATGCAACTACACTGTCCTTAATAAAAAAAAACTTAAACCTACACCTCCAAACCTAAAAGCCGTCGAACTGACTTCTCTACCCACGCATGTCATCGCATTGCGTATAGGTTCCCTTCGGGTGCTCCGGTTTCACCTACCACTAAAAACATGTACAATAGGTCTGAATGTAGTGAATGAAGGATGGAATGGACGGTGTTGAATGGAGGCTTTGATGCGAATGTAAAAATATCTGATTTCTGAACATTGTAAAGCGCTTTGGCAACCTTGGTTCGTAAAATGTGCTAAATAAATAAACATTACTCACTCACCACCTCCTCCCCAACTCCCCACCTTTGCTTTGTTGCCACCAGCCTTTATGCTCCAGGATCAAAATCTACACTCATCGATCGTAACCGAGCCAGGCCAAAGCCAGGGCCTATGCGCCACAACAAAAATCTACAAACAAACTCGCAAATAAATACATCTTGTCTCTTGTAGTCTCTCCAGATTGAAATCAAACATCCCTATTTCTCCACACGGTAGATCCAAACAGACCCAAACAGACGTGTGGCAACAATGCACGTTTTAAATCAAAGACTTTTATTTGCACATTTATAAAAGTACTTCTCTTTTACATCAAATCCCTTGAAATTTGCCGGGAATGTACAACTCCAGCCCCTCCCACAAAAAAAAAAATATTGCAATATAACTAAAAAGAACAGAAATTTGGAAAATAAATAAATATAATAAAAAAAATCCTGGTTTCCAAAATAAATGGAAAACTGAATACATTAACCACTCCACAAAATCTGTAATATACATGTTTTTATCACCAGAGGACATGACAGATTCAAACATTCAGAGTGGGATTTCAGCCTCAAAATGTCACGTTATAATTCTCGTGAAAGAGCGTTTGTACCGATTGCTTGCTGGACCTGGAGGAGAGCTTTAGATCTTTCCAATAAAAGGCAAAATATTCTTATTTACAACTTTATGAACGAATAAAAACATGACAGATTTACAAAAAGAACGTCGCTTTGGATTCTCTACAGAACTACAGCTCGGAGCGCCACCCGGTCTCCCAAAGTCCCAAGAATTTCTACAGACATAAAAAGTAATTTATTTGTATTTAGTCCATAATTCATGACAAGAAAACTACAGACTAAATGTACTTGTAGTAACTAAAATTAACTTCAATATCTTAACGTATTTTTTTCTTTTGTTGAGCATTGAGTAGCCGTGCGTAAAAACTGTGCAATACAAATAAACTTGCCTTATTGCTCGTCTCTCAGTTGAGTTTCTAGTTTCCAGAATGACGTACGTTTGGTTTGGTCTGTGTCATGTTTAATCGCGTGAATCAAAAACTCATCTCGTTTCAGAAGACAAAATTAAAATCATTAGTTTACTATTTGGATTGAACCAACGCTGCACCAAATACACTACAGAGAATTTGAATACAGGAAAACGCAACCATCTGCTTATTTATCTTGTCTCCTAAACGCACTATGGGTTCAAATTGTGGATTAAATCAATTTGTATTGTTGTTTTCCTGAGAATTTTTGATTTAATGTAATGTATAGCATGCGATAGTCCAATACCATAAAGTTAAAAGTAATTGCTGATCTTGCTCCTGAGATTTTCATGCCTGAATTTAGCGCAGTCAAAATGCAGTAACTAAATAAACAAGGCCATTTAAATCCTTGGAAGACTGGGCAAGAGCGTGGCCTGGATTTTAAAATTGGGGGAAAAAAGTTTATATAAAAAGAAATTGATTCTAATAGAGAGTGGTCATTCCTCTCCCTGTTGGCCAATGGCTCCTATGTGTTTGTTATAATTGCATTTCCTGTGTTCCAACTGTTTCTGCTGTTGGCGAATCGACAACTTTTAAAATCCATATTTCTTTTCCGTGGTTGGGAGACGGGGTCGCGCGATGAAAAGACTCCCGTTGGCCGCTACCAACAAGAATAATAACCGTAATAACCATGAGTAGTAACAATAGGGAGGTCAGACCGCGGCTCCTGGAAAATGAAACACCTGAAAATACTGGACCAAATAAATACATAACTTATATTTGTACACATTTATAAATAAATAACTTAGAAATAAAGCTATTACAAAAGCCTGCTTCCGTCGCGTGGACAGTGTCAGTTTTGGCTTCGGCTCGAATCACCACAAGTCCGTTCCGGTTTTTTTTCCAAGTCTTTGCTCAGTGTCTTTGTCGTTTCTCTCTCTTCACCGCTGTTGCGTGACCCGGGACAGGACTCCGGACATGGGTGGGAGCGGCGGGGGTGGGGGCTCGCCGGCGCCGCCCTGCAGGCCGTGGAGGAGGATGCGGGGTACGAGGGGCCGCTGGAGAGACGGGGGCGGGGCGGCGGAGGGGCCTCGGTACAGGTACAGGGCCGCGCTGGGGTCCAGGTTGGAGACCAGGCTCTGGGGGTAGAAGTACGGCGACGGGAACATTCGCTGCAGCGCCGAGTAGTTGCCGGCTTCGGCCAACAGCTCCAGACCCACGGCCGTCTGGCGCTTCCACTTCGTCCTGCGGGGAAAACAAGGAAGAATGTTATTATGAATGCAGGAAGTTTTCTGGTGTTGACCAATTTGGTGTTAGGGACACAATATACCACACAAATATGAAGGACTTTTGATGTTTTACTGTTTTATTTGAATTAAGTATAGCTTGTTAGACTTTATCTTTAAAAACAGGTGAAACTGGTTAAAATAACTGGAAACGTCCAATTTGAGAGAATAATTAAACGTACAAATCTCCTCCCTCTGGTGGCAGCAAAGGGAGTTACAGGTGGAAAGCATTATTTTACCCTTCATATATACTTGTATCACCATATATTTGTTTTACTTAAGATATGATTTCACATTTAAAAACACTAAATAGATATAAGATAAAAATAACACTTAACATATTCATTCACTTTCCATACTCCAGTGGCCTTAAGTAAAGTGGCCCTGGGGCACACTGACAGAAGCAAGGCCACCAGTCTGTGCCATCAGTATCTCCGACCACCACCAACTATTCACACAAACACACACACACATACACCAGACTCATTCTAGACAATGTGGGTGAAGTGTCTTGCCTAAGGACACAACAACAGTTTGGTATTTTACAGCCACCCTAATGTGGCAGCTGATGTTCCCAGAGGTCTCCCATCAAAGTAATTACCAGACCCTGCGCTGCTTAGCATCACAGGTGGGATGGGATCTGGCTTTTACATGCAGGTATACTGTATGCACCTCCTGTATATTTTTTATATTTTTTCATTGCGCCGGAATTAATGTGAATCTTAAGAGTTTCACACACACATACACACACACATACACATACATACACATATACACACATATACGCACACACACACACACACACACACACACAGTCCGGTGTAACTGGACGCACTGCGCGGCCTCGGCAGGTGCATAAGTCGCCCGCAAAGATAAATGAGAGCCTGGTGAATTATTGATGCGCACACATGCAGCGCTGCAGTATTCATGAGGCAAAGTGTTGTTTTTAAATTTATTTGTGTCATTTAGCCCCGGAGCCTGAGCAGTAGACACCGCTAAGTGCAACCAGATCCGCGCCGGCGACTGAGCGAGACCGCGTTTGGTAATAAAAACTGTACGGCACGATGTGTAATTATGGAGACGGAATGTTTGCGCTTGTAACAGACAGGACTGTTTCTCCAAGGTTCAAGATAAACCAGCTGTAAACTCGTCCACAAGGAGAGGAATGTCACCTGCAAACATCCACGAACAACAGATCTGGGAGTCAAAATGATGGGTCACACTTTAGTTTACCCATCACTAGTAAACAAATGAAATGTGTGTATAATTTATGGTTAATAATCTCTTAATTGGTTTTTACTATGCACTTGTAAATCCTCGTTCTACATCTAACTATGACTGACACTTTCCCATGTGGGTTAGGATTAGAGTTGGGTCAGAACTAGGGTCAAGACCAGGGCTAGGGCTCGGGTTAGAACCAGGGTTAAGACCAGGGCTAGGGTTGGGGTTATAACCAGGGTTAAGACCAGGGCTACGGCTGGGGTTATAACCAGGGTTAAGACCAGGGCTAGGGCTGGGGTTAGGACTAAGATTAAGACCAGGGCTAGGGCTGGGGTTAGGACTAGGGTTAAGACCAGGGCTAGGGCTGGGGTTATAACCAGGGTTAAGACCAGGGCTAGGGCTGGGGTTAGGACTAGGGTTAAGACCAGGGCTAGGGCTCGGGTAAGGACTAGGGTTAGGATTATGACTGATTATCACTTAATTATATATATACTTTACCAGAACAAGGCCATGTTTCTGTATCAACTTTCATTAAAGATAGAGGATCCACTTTGGTAACCCGGCAATAATCTCTGGCCTGGTTAGTTTCGTGATGGGAGACCTTTGAGAAGACCAAGTTGGGACGGCTGAGGCAGTAAAATGCTTAACTGTTGTTGTGCCCTTAGACAAGACACTTTAGTATATTGTAAGGAATGTTTATGGTCGGAGGGGTCAGATTAATAACTACTAAAAAAGGTCTCAGGCCGGATTTGGTCCACGGGCTTGAGTTTGACATGAGTTAGGGTTGAAGTGGTCAGTGGTCACCCCGATCCCTATGAACCGATGACCTACTGTATATGTCTGTCATGTTTTTATTGCATTTCCTGTGTGCAAACTGTTTGATTCTCTGATCTGTTCTTGGTGAATCGACAGCTTTGTAATGTTTTACAAGACGACTTCTCTTGTGATTTAGGACTGTACACAAATACATTGAATTGAATTGAAGTGTCTTGCCCAAGGACACTTTGGAATCAGTTGGCCTCAAGGACAAGAATCGAACTCGCACCCCGTGGATTGACCATTGTCAGAAAAATCATGCAAATTTGAAATAACACTGTGAAGAGTCTGAAAGTGAATTTGCAACTTATATTGAGCTTGAAGCTATAATTCACCCGTCAGCTGTCATTGCTGTCACACGTATGTCATAATTGTTATCATTATTGAGGCTATTTATAGAACTGTGAAATAAAATATAATGTCTTAATAAAATGGACGGTAAAGTCGCATCTTTGAAAGTATAAACTCTGAGTGACAGGTTCCCATTATAAACCTGTCACACGGCGTTATCCACGGAGCCATATTATTTCTGACACGCTCGTCTTCACAGGAGGAAGAGGCAGCGCTGGGCCGAGCTGTGGGAGGAGAAATGAATTCATAAAAATGCTAAAATTGTATCTGAGAACTGGGGAAATGTGTGGAATATTTTGTTGGATTTTAATGCGAGCGATAATATTCTTAATGATAGGAAAAGCAGAAGATTGACAGCCTTAGTCCTGGATCTACAGCCTCAGTCCTGAATCTACAGCCTCAGTCCTGGGTCTACAGCCTCAGTCCTGGATGTACAGCCTCAGTCCTGGGTCTACAGCCTCAGTCCTGGATCTACAGCCTCAGTCCTGGATCTACAGCCTCAGTCCTGGATCTACAGCCTCAGTCCTGGAACTACAGCCTCAGTCCTGGATCTACAGCCTCAGTCCTGGATCTACAGCCTCAGTCCTGGATCTACAGCCTCAGTCCTGGATCTACAGCCTCAGTCCTGGATCTACAGCCTCAGTCCTGGATCTACAGCTTCAGTCCTGGATCTACAGCCTCAGTCCTGGATCTACAGCCTCAGTCCTGGATCTACAGCCTCAGTCCTGGATCTACAGCCTCAGTCCTGGATCTAGACAGTGGTCATCCTGCTCCCTATGGACCAATGGCTTCTATGTGTTCGTTATTAATGCCTTTCCTGTGTTTCGTACTGATTCTCTGATCTGTTGTTGATGAATCGACAATCGTGCAAAGTCCTCTGAGACGACAGCTGTTGACATTCAGGACTATGCACAGATAAACTGGATTGAATTGAATCCAATCGAATGTCTAAATCTAAAAAAACAATCCACCTACAATGGCCCTATAGTGAGTGAGAGAGAATTTTGACTTTCTCCCATAAATTCCACATTCTCGGCCTTTGAATTTCACTAATAAATCTTTATCAGCAAATGTGTGATGCAAATGCAGATTGGAGAATATTCATCACTCTTTCTGATTGTGTTTTTTGTTTTTTTCTAATTAAAAGCCTTTTGCTTCATGTCTCTAACACAGACTCTCTGCGGTGTCAGCTGTCACTCACCACAATTGGTCATGGCACGTTCCCAATTTCCCATTCCGCCAAAATTTCCGGATTTTTCTCACACAGTTTTGTCCCGATTTTTGTTAATTGTTAAAAAGCTCAAAAGTTGAAGTCCCCGCACGGCAGCTGTCAGTCACAAACATAATGGTTTTTGACACGAGAGCGGCTCCCGAGGCCCCGACGAGAGATTTTCAAATGCTAATTCAAAATTCCTCGGCTATTTATAGATTTGTTGTTTTAATTTTTAATGAAACGACGTGTCAAGATAAACGCTCTGATTTTGGGAAATGTCTTTGCCTCATAAAACTGTAAATACATTTAATGGCAAGCTGTCTGTCGGGATTTTATCACGGAACCGATTATTTCGACATTCTTTTCATATATTGGAGAAAAGTGCATATAGGACCGTCTGTGTCTGCTCAGAAAATCCACAAAATGACATAAATGCTCTAAAAATTGGAGTTATTGATCATAGGCACAAAAAATATGTATGTCAATAAGTAACATTTGACAAAGAACCATAGAACCACATAAAGCTTTGTATGTATGGGGGTTGAGGGGGGGGGCTTATAAATGAATCTATACCAAAACTTTACCTAAGATTAAAAGCATATTTTTTAAGAATAAAGACAAGGAAAAAATGCAAATAATTGTACTCAAATAAATAATTGTTTTTATTCATTTGTATTTGTTGTATTTGAGTCTGAAATATAATAATAATTGTATTGCATTATTTTTGTATTATTATATCCATGATCTTGCACAGGGCCTCAAATGGCTTGAGCCGGCCCTGTTTGTATTAGAAACAGGAGAATGACCAGACAATGACCAAATAAATGACTAGAATGAGCCAAACCCCGATCAAAGTGTAAAAGGGCTGTTGCATTCTGCTGGATTTAGATTTAAGTCACAGCATTTGGAGTAAAAAAAAGTAATAATAGCATCTAAACCAGAGGTGTCAAACTCATTTTGGTCTGGGGCCAAATTTTAAAATAGTAAGAGCTGGTTGGGCCCGGAGTATAAGAGTGGCGTTTTTTGTTTGATTTTTTTTTTACATTATTTTCTAGTATGGATTCAACCAGAACTGAGCCAAATATCAAGAAGAGATGTACTGAAGGCTGAAAAAACCCAAAATATGAAATAACATAACTTCTGATTCCATGTTTGTTCACATTTTGGAACATATTTAGTTATATGGTTGTTTTCCTGAGAAGATAAGCTTTAAAATTAAGTATAACATGCCATAGTATCCCACTACCATCAATGCTATAAATTACCTTGATAATGATAATTGAAAATCATATCAGGGGCTACTAAGAATGGTCTTGTGGCCCGAATTTGGCCCATGGGCCTGAGTTTGACAGGCCTGTTGGCAGGTACATTTTAAATTCATAATAAATGTTCATTGCTGTGGTTTCAAAATTAGAAACCCCAGCTTTAAGACTTGTGGATGGAAGTTGTCATGGTTACGCACAACTCTGACGACATGAACGAGCGAGACCCAGACCATGAGCGAGGAAACAATGTCTTTGTTTTTGTTTTACGAACTAAAAGAACCCCATCGAAACAGAGGTGATTCATCTCAAGGAGCAATCCGTGATCGATAAGTAAATACATCTATGAACACAAGAGTCAGACCTCTTTCTTTGACGTGTTTTGACTTTTTTGATTGAGCTAATTTCTTGCGTTTAGTCAGGAATGTCTACAAACTATGAAGATATTGGAGATGGCACTGGGGTTAACATATATGTCGGGGTTTCTGAAGGTGCGGCCAAGGCATTGATCCGGCAGAAGAAACAAAAACTATAGTGTGTTCTTGAGCAAGACACTTCGCCCCCTGTGTGTGCGCTCACTGGTGTATGAGTGTGTGTGTGATTATAAAAAAACCTTGATTGCGTCCCACTGTGGGGAAATTTCATTGTTGCAGAGCACATACGGGACAGTAGTAAGAGCTCACTACAATATAAGCAGCTGCTGTGTTGCTAAGCTAGCTGTAAATGCCCCAATATAACTACTATTATTTTTATAATTTTACATAATATATATATCGCGCAAAACAGACTATATTTTTAACCTTATTAACATGTTTGCCCACTTCCTGTCCTTTTGCAAAACCAGAGTGATCGATGCCAAATGTGACGTGTACATTTCTCCATTGTGAGATCAATCAAGTCTTTCTGATCTTAATATAAATTCTTTGATATATCTCTAAATATATATGTAAATTTCACCAGTGTGAGAGCAATAAAGTTTATCTTATCTTATCATATCTCATGTCTGGAAAGATGGAAAATCACTGTAGACTTGTGACCATTTTTTCCCATTTCCAGTCAAATGTATCCAAATAAAACGTATACAAAAATTAAGTGAAATGTATTAAGGCCGGGCCCTCACCTGCGGTTCTGGTACCACGTCTTGACCTGTGTGTCGGTGAGGTTGAGGGAGGCGGCCAGCTCCATGCGGTCCTGCACGCTGAGGTACTTCTGCCGCTCGAAGCTGCGCTCTAACTGGGCCAGCTGGTGGTCGGTGAAGGCGGTGCGGGCTTTGCGGGGCTTCTTCAGTCGCACTTGCGGACTGTCCCGGCTGCTGGAGATCTCCCGCTCGCCCTCTTCTTTCACTGCACAACAGAGAGATAATAGTTGGTTTTATTTTTTTATTGTATAGCGCTGTTCATACACAGGGGAACTCAAAGTGCACAACCAGACAAGATAGAAACAGACACACAAGGCCTTAAAATCATCAATAATCGCAGTGCATTAAAGAGTGAAGAAAAAATCCAAGCAGTTGTACGCACAGCTTAACAAAACTGTTTTAAACCTGGATTTGAACACTGTGGGAGAAGAGTCCTGTCTCACATTTTCAGGAAGACTGTTCTAGATTTTAGCTGCATGAATCTGAATTGCAGCCTCGCCATGTTTAGTCCTGGCTCTGGACACCAGCAGAAGGCCAGTCCCTGTGCTCCTCAGAGTCCCAGCAGGAGGTCAGTCCCTGTGCTCCCCAGAGTCCCAGCAGGAGGTCAGTCCCTGTGCTCCCCAGAGTCCCAGCAGGAGGCCAGTCCCTGTGCTCCTCACAGTCTGTGTTGGTTCATGCGGAACTAACATGTCGCAGATGTGCTTTGGTGCGAGAACTTGTCAATACACAAAATAATACAATTCACATTTAAAATAGTACTAGTCAAGTCCGTCACACAATTGGATGCAACTTAAAACTGGTTTGATTTTGTATTTTTACAACTGTTTAGCTCCAATTAGACCACACCATCTTGGATTTACATGTAAAAAATTCAGTATGCAATTTTAGACTTCTACCACCAGATTGCTGTATTGTCACAATATTTGTGACAATACAATGGGGCTGAGAGCAGTTAGGAATAATGTGCGGTACCAAAGAAAGTCGCTCGTTCCCGGTTTGATAATCAGGGACCCGAGCTTTAATACAGTCTGAAGCAAAAAGCATTTTGATTTTTATTACTGTACATTATTTGGTTTCCTAATGTATGCCTCTATTTATGAACATGAAATGTGTCCATTTTCTCATTTAAAACAAAAAAAAATGACAACATGGTAATAAAAAAACGGCCTTTTTGGTTCAGACTTACGCAAGAATACATTTTAAATCTAGCTAATCTCTTGTATAAACAATAGGTGCAAAGTCTCTAGGTGCGGCCTATGGATCAGGCCCCATAATACCAACAACTAGACAACTTGTGTGTTCTTGAGCAAGACACTTCGCCCCTTGTGTCTGCGCTCACTGGTGTGTGTGTGAGAATATGTCTGGAGAAATAGAAAAAAACTGTATACTTTTACTGTATTTACTGTTTACTGTATTTTATCTTTTAGTCATTTTGATATTATTCAGTCCTTTTTCCTGCAGTCTCCCTCAATCGGCCCTCTGCTTCCCTTGAAATGTTGGTGTATCTTCCTTACTCTATTGGGAATGTAATCCACAAGTCTAATATAGAGGTAATATATTAACAGTAATAAATATATATGTTATAATTCTGGCTCAGGCACAGGTCTATTCATGTTCTTCAAAATCCATCAATGCTACTCTAAATGATATCTTAGGCTGCAGAACTTGTTGTATCCTGGATCTACAGCCTTTCTGTCTGTGGGAGAAGATTCGGTCTCATTGTGGGCTTCCCCGAGGTTTCTCACTTTTTTGAGTCATTCCTCAAAAAATATGCAAAAGGGTCTGAGGCCAGTGATCACCCGGGACATTTAAGAACGTTTATGCTTATATAACACCATCCCATACCTATGACTCGTATGTCTTTGTTATTTTTGCATTGTGTTCGACCTGTTTGATTTTCTGATCTGTTGTTGAGGAATTGACAACTTTGTATAATCCTCAAAGACGACTGCTTTTGTGATTTAGGCTATATAATTTCTTTTTTAAATTGATTAAGTCCTTTAATGATTATTTCCGTTAGCTTAAAACTTCAGATAGTGGAATGTTAATCATGGCACTTTCCAAAAGAGATTAAAATGAATGAATAAGGAGGGTCACACCGTCGTTTTAATCAAAATCATTTTAAAATCAATTCTTGTTAGGTGCATGTAGGCCTCTATCGCAGAAGCAACTGTCAGGAAGCAACACAAAGAGTATTTGAATTAATTCATTCTTATAGACAACAATTTCTCACGCGGATGTGATTTTCATTTTTGCTTAAGGAGACTGTAAAATCTGCATGGGAAAAGGCCGTCAGACATTTGTGTATTTTTTCTTCCTATTTACATAATACACATTCGGGCCATGAAAGCATTGATTGCAAATAAAAATAAAATAAATAAAAACGAAATAAAAGGAATGGGAGACGCGTGCATAACTAAATTACTATATCACTAAGCAAATATCTCACACAACTCATGTGTTTAAAACGTGATGAATTCTAGTTTAATTTACCATTTATTTTGTCTGCATTTGTCTTCAGGTATAACGCCATATCCATTTAATACACGCTCACGCACGACGTCACTTTTGGCCTTCACGTTCTTTTACAGGTTGCCACCAATTATTACACTTGTTGACCACGTGGAACACAATTACAAACCAGGCACACGTTTTAAATGTTTTTTCAAATATAATAATACGCATCATTTCCACTACTATCTGTTTGAATGAGGTTGGAACGAATTGGCAAAGAACAACCCGTGCGTAAAAACCATTTGCGTAATGGCCTTTGCTCTCGTTCCTCCTGCGTATTGCCTGTTTTATTCAACCAGGACGCATGCGCTTTGAGCCGTGACAAAATGTATGTGTAAGAAACCCAAAGGCCTTCAATGTATTTTACAAGCAGGGAATATCACTTGACACCAATAAGCGTTTGCTCCCTGTGTTCATCCATAATTAAGAGAAACAAAAAACTCTCGCCGTGTCGTAGGCGAGTCCTAAATGGGGGAAAATGCTGCTTTACGACTTGCAAAAGTAGAAGGAATTATGTACAATTAGTGATCATGTGTGACGTAATTGAAAACAGAAAAATAAGAAATACAAATAGGAGTTTGGACTGAGATTACGTGTGCGCGTCAGGTTAAAAACGTCAAAAAAGTGGATTTCGGTGCGGACACTGACAGCCATAATTAACCTCTTTGACAACAGCGGAAGTTTTAAGATCCTATTCCAGGAGGAGGGTTGGTTTGTGTGACATGCAACCATTTAGGAAGCTGACCAGTGCTGTTTTGGTGCGTGCGTAATTAACAGAGAGACCTTTGGATTATGGTGCGTAAAACGAGCTTGGATGAAGTTTGGATTCGTGTTTGGTATTTGTGGACGTGGACTGAGCTGATAATCTTTCTCTACAGGCTCACAAATGTCCAATCACCGCTTGTTTAAAGGCCTACAGCAGCTTGACCTTCACCATAGACTGACAAAATGATGGGCCTCCCCGAGATTTCTCACTTCAATCCCCGCGGGGTTTGTGGAGTGGTTCCATGCCGATGCAGGTGAGTCTAAGAAGGACAGCGATAATCCGGGACTTTATGGACAATTATGAACATGCATGGACATTTATAGACATTTATTAACAATTATGGACAATGATCATGCCATATAAATCAATGGCTTATCATTATTGCATGCGTTCGAACTGTTTGATTCTCTGAACTGTAGTGAATAGACAATTTTGTAAAGTCCTCTGTGACGACTACTATTGTGATTTAGGGCTATATACAAATATAAATGTAAATGAATTATGTCTATTTAAAAAAATTCAATGTCGATTTCATTCCGAATCAAATGTGTGGCTATTTAACTACGCCTTTTTTTAATCACGTCAACTTTTAAAAATAGTTTGTAATTTTCCCCTTTTCTTCCGAACGTGTCCTTGGTGTGCTGTTTCGGTTTGATTGGTCCAAACTAGGCCATCTGAAACACCCCCCCCCCCCCCCCCCCCCCCCCCCCCCCCCCCCCCCGTTAATAAGACACCCGTTGTTTTGGCTCTGGACCTAATGCGAATAACTGTCCAAAATTTCAATCACGCCCCAAATCCACGTGACTATTTGTGGTTTCCGTGCAGTGGGGAAGCGTCGGGATTTATGGCCACGTGAGACCACTTTTGTTGGCGTTTAGGAGGCGTCTAAAAATGGGAGGAAAGTGGCGTCAGCTTTGGACAGGTGAACGCGAGGACGTTTTGGGATACGTTTCTTTGGCGCGCGTATAATCACAACAGTTCCGGGTTTTTTTTTTTTTTTTTGGAGACGTGAGAAATCCCTCAAAATACTACCGGGTTTTGACATTTTTATCAGCCACAAAAGACAGCAACGTGTCATGAAAATATAAATCCAAAATTATAAAGAAACAAGAAGGAAATATGTCTTTTTTTCTACCAAATTTTGGAATGCCAGTATTAATATTCTGGGTGACAAATTGATAATAGTTTTTCAATGTTAATCCTGTGTAGGGGAAAAAATCCACTCGCGTAATTCTCTGGGAACAATGACCAATATCTATTTTATTGTTTTAATCTCCTGAAAGCAATCAACAATTTCGCAAAGTGCAAAGGCATGAAAACTGTTGTGTTTTAGTTTTTAACAACAACAAATTGACTTGATCTGACAATTTTCCTTTATGGTTTTGCTCTTTTTTTCATCGCGTAAAGAAATCCTTACGTCTCACTGTCGATTACTCGGCGCCATCTCCAACGCGTCCTTATGAAGCAGCATATATCATGACAGAATCAAACAAAAACACATATACACGTTCATCACAGTGCATTTTACATTTGACACCAGGCGAGTCTGACTATATACTTCTAGCTCTTCCAACACGCACAGCCCTGGGTTTTGACGCGCGGCTATTTGATTCGCTTATATCTTGATATAAAAAGCCAATATTCGTGCGTATTTGTGTGTGATCTGCTCCTGCTTTTTTCCCCTTCTTTGTTCTGAAGAGTCACATCAGGCCGAACACCAGAAGTGGAAAAAAAGAATGAAAGAAAAAAGAGGAGGAGGGGAAGGAGGGGGAGGAGAAGGAGAGAGGAGGGAGTGGGGGGGGGGGGTGTATGGAGTGAGTGAAGTGCGACTGAAGAGCGCAATAATCCTTCTAATTGAGCCACCAGGGAAAGGGCCCGGGAGAGCCCCACATCACGCAGCCCACGGAAAGAACTTCACAGAGCCACCGTACAAATCTGATTAGCGCCGCGGACAAATTACATCAAATCCGGGGGAATATTACACCGAGACGGGACCGTGTGGAAGACCAGGGGGGAGCGCCCGAATCAAAAAAGAAAAAGAAAGAAGGGGGGGACAAAAAGAGAAGAAGCTTTGAAGCAATGAGTGACCATGAATATCACACAATAGACAATTGGAAAGACTGGGGGGAAAATGTGTGTGTTGATATTTTTGATATGTTTATAATGGCCTCACACACGTCATAATAATCACACCTATTTTGTTAAAGTTTTACAAGAGATTTCACGTTTTTTGCGTGGCCGGCCTAAATAATAAATGAGTCAAAATGGGTCTAAAGTTGTTCCAAATATTTTCTCAGATGCTCGGGGTAATAATCAACAATTTTGTAAATGTATAAAAAATTCTTCTTTTTTATGTCTGAAATTGTCGCTAATCAGTTGGCTAATATTCCTGGAACACACACACACACACACACACACACACACACACACACACACACACACAGTATACAGTGAAGTGTGTTTTTGTGTTGTAGAAAATATTCTGCTGGTCTGTGTCTTTCTCTGAGCACTTGTTGGGAAGCGGTTGTAAATGCGCTACACAAATAACATTGACATTGACAGAGCCCAATACGTGCTGAGGTGATTGCACCAGGAATAGCCCCCAGGACAACTCCAGGCGCTGAAAATGGGAAACCAACGCGCGACGGTTTTCCAAAGTTACACGCACTAATCACACATCAGGCCTTATACGCATAAGACGCAGTTACGTGCATGCTGGCGAGAGACAAAAACACAAGAAAAAAAGCTTTAGAATACCCTTTTTGTAAGAAATCTGGACTACAAAGACTGATGAACACTGCCGACCTGGCCTTACATGCATTGCACCTGTAATAGTGTGCAATAATGTCAGAAATATGTGCAATATTGGACGTATACATGTATCTTTTTTTTTGTTGCCCAGAACATCGTCTGCTAACATACAATATCATGTGGATATTTGGACCCGATGACTTTGTTTATTAAGCTAAAGATAACGATTTTATTGTTTTTTGGTTTTTTTAAAGTTGTGCTATATACGTAATATTCTCTCATCCTGTCTTGTATATCTTGTGATGCAACACAGAATTTTCCCCATAAAGGATCTCTTCATCTTAAACATAAGTATTGGCGCTGCTCTCGTGCGTATAGAGCCATATACGTCATTTATCGCAAAAAAATATTGAAATCTATGTTTAAATCTAAAATAGTGCTGTAACCAGTACTGAGCCACATCCCTGCGCGCGGGACCAGACGCGGCCCACTTTAACAGATGTCCCAAATCACATGCATCACACACAGGCCAATCAATTATTTATTCTTACAATATTGATAGTGTCACCTGGTGAATGATTAAACAAAGGGGAAGAAGTGGCTTCGCATAGATTTGGAAATTGCGAGAAATTGAGTCAGATGACGAACATTTTGAAGAAATATGTGTTGGTGTGTTATATATAGGTCAGTTTTAGCCTTATTCTCATTCATCCAGGAATGTCCCATTGATATCAGTGTTATTTCTTTTTCAAAGAGACATCCCCTTTAATCAGATGGGAAACATAAAGTAATAATATACAGACAAATGTTATTGTTTTTACTACTATTTTTCAGATTACATAATAGCAATACTTCAACGAATTTTAAAAACGTATATTACGTGATTTTTGTAGAATGAGATAGAACAATATTGACAGAACTTGCATGCGTTGAATGTAATAATTTAAGATGTATAGACTATTGGTTTAAAAAAAATAGTCTAGATGTATTATGAGAAAACATTGATTCTATTGTGTGTAAGATGGAGACCTCAGACCTGACAAAGGCTTGTTCAGAATCAGAATCAGAATCATTTTTATTGCCAACGTAAGTAACAGGAGGTCACAGACTTGGAAATTGCTTTGGCTCAGTGCAACAGTCAAAAAGATATAATAAAAATAAGAATAAAAAACACTTCTAAAGAATCTAAACACTTTAACACTTTTAAAGAATCTAAAGATTTTTTGTTCAAAACAACATCTAGATTTAAATCAATATGTGATGTTTCTTGATTTAGAGATCAAATTTGGATGTTTAAAAATACAATTGCAATTCATTTACAGGCGGGATGTTTATGGTACCTCAATAATTATTATTTTAAAAAGCTTCTCAAAAGAGTGGGTATAGCTGCAGCCACGCGGGAGTCCCTGTAATGTCCCCCATAATCACAGCTCTCTGGTCGTGAAGGTGTGAGGCGCGGGTTCCTCCGGTCCGTCCCATTACGTCCCGGTCCGTCCCGGCCCGTGCGCCTCATTACACTGAGACATGTCTGTGACACGACCCTGCACCTCCTCTCCTCCTCACACCAGCGGCCACTCTGAGCGGGGAAGGAGAGCTCATGGAGTCGTTGCAGCAAAATCTCGGTCTGGTTGAGTTTGGTTCAGTTTGGTTCAGTTTGTCGCTCAAAGACAGAGTGACAGTTGTGTTTTTACCCTAAAGGCACACAGCGACACAAACGCATTATTTCAATCAGCTCGTTCTGCTCTTGTTCCCTGTTTTAACGCGTCGCTCTGTAAATTACAGTGAAACAGGTTTGTTGTGAACTGAAGCCACTGGCACAATTTTAACATCAGCACGTTTGGGTTTTCATCAAGATTATGATGTTCACATTCTACGCACAGATTTGATTGCGATTTAATTTAAGATAAAGTTAAACAGTTTATTCATGTGAGATAGTAAGATATTTTGCATTAAAATATAGTAAGATATTTTGTATCTGGATATTTATGTCTTTTTTCCTGCCTTTTTTATATTTTGTGCTAATGTTTATTTCACATGGGGCCGTGGGATACAATCTTTTCAATTGTAATTATCATTACTGCGAGCCTGCTATTTATTTCTCATTAATAACACGTAAATTACACACACCTCACTTCTGAACACACGCACGTGCATATGTGATATTAGCAAAGACCGGTCCATACTAAAGTCTGTGTTCTGACCTTTGTACTCGCTGTCTGAGGACGAGTTGCTGTGGATCTTGTCCATGAAGTCCTGCTCCTGCAGTTTGGAGGCCAGGCGGCCCGCCTCCTGCGCGGGCTGCCCGTTACTGGAGTAGGGCGCGCACGCGGCTAGGGGCTTACAGTCCGCGAGAATGTCCCGGATGAGAAACGAGGAGGTGACGGTTCTCTGCGGGCCCCCGGACAGCTGCTGCATTTGCGGCAGGCCCAGCGCCGCTCGCTGCGCCACGCTCTCATCTCGGGGAGACGGAGGAGACGAACAGCCGCTCTCCGCGTCCGAGCGCGGGCTGAAGCTGCCCTCCACACTGCCCTTCAGAGGACTCCCGGCCCGGTGCGACAGCAGCGAGTCAATGCCGAAACTAGAGCCGTTTGAAGACGCCTCCATCTGCAGCTCACACCAGCATCTGGACCAGTGCACAGAAAGAGTTTAAGTCCTGCAGGACCCTGGCTCCTGTTCGGGCTGGACTCTCGGACTTTACAAACCCGCGTGAGAAACACTTTATCCCGCAGAGAGGAGCAGGCGCTCCACGTCAGCACCACGGACAGCTCCGAAGCCTGAGGACCTGAGACTTCAGTGGATCATGGCTCCTCTGCACACGGAGACTGAACACAACTGAGCCGCTCTGAGGGATACGAGCAGAAGTAGAACAAGCGCAGAGCGAAGAGAGACGCAGCGGCGCACGACGTGGAGATAAAGTGGGTTAAAGATTCACGAGGTCCGCGTGGGAGCGAAGAGGAGCGGAGGAGGAAGAAGAGGAGGAAGAGGAGAAATAAGTGCTGCTAAAGCCCAAACATTGAACTTGAGGAAAAGTCAGGAGCAGGTTTTAACAGCGCCGTGACCACGTGAGTCCCCAGTGACGTGCGCTGATTGGCTGAGGGACCCACTCCCGTGCACGCCCACTGCACCCCCCTGTCCCGGGCTCGTGCACCTCCAGCTGTTTGCGGACGTCCTCGTGCGCGTCTTTACGTCACTGATGAGGCTCGTAATGGACTCATTATGGTCTACAGAGTGTGATGCGTCCACACTGTTATGTATTCAACAAACGCACATCAGCAGCGCGTGCACGGGAGCCTTATTTACAAACACAGAACATTGCAGATGTTTGTCCCGCTCATGTTCGAGGCAAAAAAACAGTCAGAAAACCATCCTGTTTCAGTTAAAGCGGGATCTGTGTTAAAACTTGTTCAACTTATTTTCAATCTTATCCAATCAGAATGTACGTTGTTTGAATGTAGTATGTATATGTATGTTTATATATATATTTGTATGTGTATGTGTTTATATATGTATGTGTATGTATGTATGTATTTATGTTTATATATATATATATATATATATATATATATATATATATATATATATATATATATATATATATACATGTATGTTATTTGTGTGTTTGTATGTATCAATCTCTATACACAAAAAACAAGATACAGGGCTGTAATATTTAGATAATGTTTAGCTTTGAATTATTAATAAAATATATTTCAGACTCAAATTGAATAGTTTCATATGTAAAAAGAAAAGAAAAGAAAAAAGAGATAACACAACACACTCTATCCATTTCCAATTAGAAATGTGCAGTATGAAGGCAGAAGTGGCGCGACATTTACATTGACAAAAAAATAAAGAATAAAAAGCTTAACAAATCACGACAGAGAGAAAGGAGCAGAATGATTTCCCCCAAAAGTCAATTAGGCTAAATGAAGCTCATTATTCCCGCTTCCATTCACCATTTCGTCCAAACAACAGACAGCAAGCGGCGGAGGTCACGTGAGCAGGAGTGACCCGCGGGTCGGGGTCTCACGGCTCAACACTCATCACTTAGGGCCCGATAATGGCCCCTGATCACGGAGCGCTCGGGGGTGCCTCGTTAAAGCACGTATTTTCTCTACACAACTATCACAGATTTTTTCAGTTGAATTAAACTCAAGCTGTATTTATATGGAGCTATTATTGTTTCAATAATATTTGTGTGTGCGTAAAAAGATTTGTGCGTGCGTAACCAGATTTGTGTGTGCGTACCCAGATTTGTGTGTGCGTAACCAGATTTGTGCGTGCGTAACCAGATTTGTGTGTGTGTAAAAGAAATATTTGTGCGTGTCTAAATAGATTTGTATGTACGTATCAAGATTTGTGTGTGCGTAAAAAGATTTGTGTGTGCGTAAAAAGATTTGTGTGTGCGTAGAAAGATTTGTGTGTGTGTAAAGAAAAAAAAAAGTACGTTTTACACACAAGTTTTTTTTTTTACACACGAATCTTTTGACGCAGTCCTGCCTTTGCAGATTCGCAAGTGTAACTTGGACTGTGTGCGTGCGTAAACAGATTTGTGTGTGTGTAATTTGACATTTGTATCTGTAGCAGAACAATCTGTGTGTAAATAACCGCGTTGTACAAAGAGAAGAACGAAAAAAGCCTAAGTGCTACGCACAGGCTCTGTTTTACACACGAATCTCTTTTTGACACACCTCTGCCGCCAAGCGTGTGTCAAAAAGATTTGTAAGTGTAATGTGGTTGTTCTAGCAGTACACCAGCAGATGGTGCTGTTGTAGCTGGTTATTACCTACAGGCAAGCAAACCAAAACCTACTGCCTTGACAAGACACACTACCGCAGCTGTTTATGATATTTTTTTCCTATTTTCAAAATCCTGTCATTCACACCACTGTATGATACATGGATCTATTATAATAACTGGATAGGGTGTTACTAGCTTGGAGCTGAAGGATTCTCACGTACTGCAGACTAAATTCACGTTGGCTACACAGAAATTTTCCCCATAGAACTCAAAGTAAACTAAAACAGCTGACAGATAACCTACAGCTTTCATAAAGGTCGGATTTTGTGGGAATTTTAGTGTTCCTTGTCATCCTGAACTTTTCTTCTTGTTAAATCCTTCGGTTTTCTCTATCTACACTTGTTGGTTTGCTTGCCTGTAGGTAATAACCAGCTACAACAGCACCATCTGCTGGTGTACTGCTAGAACAACCACATTACACTTACAAATCTTTTTGACACACGCTTGGCGGCAGAGGTGTGTCAAAAAGAGATTCGTGTGTAAAACAGAGCCTGTGCGTAGCACTTAGGCTTTTTTCGTTCTTCTCTTTGTACAACGCGGTTATTTACACACAGATTGTTCTGCTACAGATACAAATGTCAAATTACACACACACAAATCTCTTTACGCACGCACACAGTCCAAGTTACACTTGCGAATCTGCAAAGGCAGGACTGCGTCAAAAGATTCGTGTGTAAAAAAAAAAACTTGTGTGTAAAACGTACTTTTTTTTTTCTTTACACACACACAAATCTTTCTACGCACACACAAATCTTTTTACGCACACACAAATCTTTTTACGCACACACAAATCTTGATACGTACATACAAATCTATTTAGACACGCACAAATATTTCTTTTACACACACACAAATCTGGTTACGCACGCACAAATCTGGTTACGCACACACAAATCTGGGTACGCACACACAAATCTGGTTACGCACGCACAAATCTTTTTACGCACACACAAATATTATTGAAACAATAATAGCTCCATATATTTATCCATTTTATTTATATTTATTTATTAGTATCTTTGACAGAGACAAGTGTACACAATCAATATGAAACACTGCAACATTTGTGCTGTAAGGCAAATTTGCAATGTCCGTCCAAAAGGCTATATTTGTGTTGGGAAGAAATAGAGAGGGCACGTTTTTTTGTATAGCACATGTCTCAAAGTGCTTAATAACACAAAAGAAACGTTAAAATCACACACGGCAGAACAATTATGGACAATCACATGGAAAAGAGTGAATATACACACAGCTATACAGATCTGTTTGGAGCCTGGATTTTAACATTGTCAGAGAAGGAGCCTGTCTCACAATTTCAGGAAGACTGTTCTAGATTTTAGCTGCATGAATCTGATTCGCTGCCTCCTCATGTTTAATCCTGACTCTAAGCATGAGTAATAGTTTAAAGTTTATATGAAGTCGTACATATAGAGTGATTTGTGACGGTGTTCGGCCTTCACTCCTAAAAATGTAACAGCAGATTAAAAATACTGTATAGAAGCTGCATGGACCAACAATGTTATTATCAATACGGTTTTTAAGCGACATTTAAATTTCTAAATGTGATTCCAGTATAGTTTTTTCTGATCTTGCTTCAACTTTTTGCCAGTGTGTAAAAAATGGTCAAATAGGAAATGCTAATATTTGTATTTGAAATAGGCCTCCTGTGACTAAACCAGTGGAAGAACAACAAGAACGTTATAATGCTCAATTTAAAGGGGAAGTTTGCGCCTCAAAAATGTCTCCACACTGTGAAAAAAGTGACGTGTGCTTTTTATTTAAAGGGACAGTATGCATAAATTGTAAAGCGCTTTGTAGGACCTTTGTTTGAGAAATGTGCTATTTAAATTAATAAATACATATAAAGACTTACTTAATTACATTATTTTGATTTTAAATTACATCTGTAACAAGAGATATTTTTCTAAACTGGATTTGCTTCGTCCAACCCCTTTTTAAACTGTATTATTCAGAAAATGTCACTTATTGGTATGAAAAATATAAGTTAAGTAAATATACTACTGTTACTACTACTACTACTACTACTACTATTACTACTATTACTACTACTACTACTACTACTACTACGGCTGCTGCTGCTAACTTCTACAAATTGTAGTCATTCTTAATTAAAACACAATGAACATAATGTGATATTTATGTTTAAAGTTTTCTTAGATTATCCAATCAGAGAGCAGAACAGGAAGCATGGTCTAGCAGTGAATGTTTTGTGGTAATTAAAACATTGATAAACTTTTACGAGTTCATGAGATGCATTTACTGTGAGTGAAGAAACATTTTTTTTCTTTAACCTTTCACAACATTCTAAACATAAAATCATATATGTTTAGCTTTATCTTAGGGGCGTGTCTCATAACTGTTTTCGAAATGAGACCTAAAGGTATTTTGTTTTATTAATAATCCATAGTTGTCCCAAAATAAGGCATTTAAAACATGTCATCTTCTGCATACTTTCCGCTGCTTTAGGCTGAGAGCTGATTGGCCGAATGAGAGAGTGGCTTTGTTTGAAAAAAGCTGATCAAAGGATGTCACAGATGCCAGAAAAAGCAAGCAACAAAAGTGACAGAATTGCTGTTTGAAAGTTAGGTACCCAAGCTTTAACAATAGCTGTATTGCTGAATCACATTTGAAGTCGATGAATAATACTAATACTACAGTATAATACGAATACTGTTCAAACCCAGATGTCCTATACACACACACTGCAAAAAACATTATATATTTTACAGAGCGCTACAAGAACAAAAGATAAAATATGATAAAATAATTGAATCAAGTGGTTT